GCAACTGTTAGCTTGTGGTTAGTGGTCCAGTGTTTATCATACGACACTGAAACCACACCAGGACTCCTTAGATAGAAATAGTACTACGACACTGAAACCACACCAGGACTCCTTAGATAGAAATAGTTCTATCTATCTCATAGGGTTTTTCTGATTAAATGAGCTTTATCTATTTAAAGTCCTTAGCATATTCGGAGTCCTGGTGTTATGTTGTAGTATAAGCACTGGATTGCTCATGAAGACCCAAGTGTATCTGAGTAGAGCTGTGCTCCACAGGGTTTTCAGCGGCTGGTTTTATAAAAGTAGGTTGCCAGGTCTTTTTTCTAAGGTGTTTCAGCATAGACTCGAACCTGCAAAGTTTTATTTAGCAGCTGATGGACTCTAAAAGAACCATTCAGAAACATTCAAAGCCAAATGAAAGGACAATTTGCTTTCATTGATACATTATCTGGAATCCTGGTATGATGCTATGGGATCAGCACTGAACTATCACAAGGCCAGCCATTCAGACCCACCAGCTGCTCCTCAGAAATCCCATACAGGTTCGCTAGGAGTTGGACTGAACTCGATGACAATGACAGTATATCAGACACACCAATTTAATTGATGTTCATTACTACCACATACTTCATATCTGTGCCCTTAAATGTGAATACAGGTGTTGAACATAGTATTTACCACTTTCTGTTAGTCAGAAGTTGGGTTCCCTGTGACAATTTGAGCTATTAAGTTCTTTTCTGGATAAAGCAGTCTTTTGTTGAAAGTGATTTGCAAATATTTACACTCTGTCTGTGGTTTGCCTTTTCAGTGTCACAAACCCAAAGGTTTAATTATATCCAATTTGTCATTGTTCTGTTATGGTTCATGCTTTTGGTGTCATGTCATACTCTTTGCCTAACCCTGGTTGGTAAGGATTTTTCTCCTAAACAGGTTTTAGTTTTTTATTTTACTGAGGTCCATGATTCACTTGAAGTTCTATATTAGCCATGTCATGTTTCCTATTATCAATGTTGCTTCCAGTGTTCGTTTGCGTCACTCTGATTTATGCATTTCATCTTTTGAAATGTCTTTTCACAGGTACTAGGAAATACTGACAGCAGTTCCCAGATGATTTTAACTGAGTATATTTGGAAGGCATTTATAGGTCACTGAGTTGGAATCAACTTGATTGCAATGGGCTTGATTCGTTTTTATTATTCTCTTGAGCTCTATCTTTTAGCATGTCATTACACTGCAGGTAATTCCATCCAGTTGAAGTCTGTGTTTGGTGGTGGCTATGTATTTTGGAGTCGGTTCTGACTCACAGTGACCCTGTATAGGGTTTCCAGGCTATAAATCTTGAAAAGAGCAGAAGGCCTCATCTTTCTCCTTCTGAGCGTCTGGTAGATTCAAACTGCTGAGTTGGGTAGCAGCCCAACTCATAGTCCACAACGCTGCCAGAATTCCTTGATTGAATGTTAGGTGGAAGCTCTGAATTAGAACCAATTGAAGGCACCTAACATGCTAACAAAGACCTGGTGGCACAGTGGGCAAAGGCTCTGCTAAACCAGCTGTTCTGTGGAGAAAAATGTGACTGTATGAGCAGCTCTACTCTGCCCGTAAAGGGTGCTTTGAATCAGAACCAAGTCTTAAGAAGTTCCAAAATCTCCATTTAATACAGCAAGAATTTTCTTATTCACGGAAAGACACAAGTTAGGCATCTTTAGGGTGGTGGTTATGTGCTATGGACCTGGTTCCGACTCATAGCGACCCTGGACAGGGTTTCCGAGGCTGTAAATCTTTACGGAAGCAGAGTCTCCTCTTTCTCCCACGAACAGCTGGTAGTTTTGAATTGCTGACCCTGAGGTTAGCAGCCCAATCTTAACCGCTATGCTACCAGAGCGGGCCCAAATTTTACTGTAAAGGGGATTGCCCTATAGGTCAGAAAGTGGCAGAGTAACCCATACCAAATAAATAACACCACTTGCTTTCATAGCACCCTTGAACTAAGAATGTTAAACGTCTTTGAGTTGGTTCTGACTCACAGCAACCCTGTAGTGTTTTTGAGGAGCAGCTGGTGAGTTTGAACTGCTGACATGAGTATTGAAACAGAATCGTTTTGGCGTATTTAAATGACTAAGAAAGTATTTGTGACAGCAGTATTTTAGTGTCCATAAATGAAGGCTTACTAAGACACAGCCACATTTGTTTATGTATCATCTATGGCAACTTTTGTACTACAAGAGTCTAGATGTGACTGAGCATGCATATGCTCTCATTGCTAATTATTACCACTTGTGTACTACAGGCTGCAGTTAGAATTTGCCAACTATCATTACCACTGCATACCCATCATGTAACAATGATTGTGAGGATGGCACCTGACCAAGAAGCATTTTGTTGTGCATAGGGTTGCTGAGTCAGAACTGACTTGATGGCATTTAAGAATCTACCATGTCAAAATGAGAGATTTCAGATGCCATGTTTTTACGCAAAACGGAGTGTGGATTGTTACCTAGATGGCAATGCACTGTGTATATTTTGCAACAACTTGCCAGTTGTACTAAAAGGACGTAAAATGTGTTAAAATTACCAGATCAAACACTCATTTCCAATTCACAGGAATAGAGCAGCGAATTTTAAATGTACTGTATCTGGCATGGTGCTGTAGGATGAAGTACAGGATCACAAGGTCTGTTTGAACTACAAGTTCAAACTCACCAGTCGCTCCTCAGAAACCCTATGCTGGGTCGCTATGAGTCGCCATCGACTCGACAGCACTTAACAAATTATCTCACTACAAAATTTCTTCACAAATATTTAAGTGAAAATGAGGTTGCAACCAAAAATTTTTCCAAATGGCTATTTATCAGCAGAGCGTGCTTTACTTGTATCTGATTGCAGCAGCCAAAGAAATCTAGAGAAAAATCAACAATTTTAAGTCTTAGCTTTTAGAACAACTGTTTGAAGTGGAGACACTGGAAGCAAGTCTGTATGAAAACATGGCAAATTCTTATGCATGTTTTTTCTTGGCTCTTGAGCTAATGTTAGCAGTACTGTTTATGCCAAGTACTAGGGTAACCAACTTTCCCAGTTTGCCTGAGTTTTTTTTGGTTTTAGTACTGAAAATCCCAAGTTCTGGGAACCCCATTAGTTCTGGACAAGTTGTCTTATCAATGATCAAGAAATTAGCCTGTCTGAAAATTCTGTCCTAAGAACATTTTCAGTACAATCCTAAGTGAGATCTGAGAGGTTTAACAACTGGGTCATGTGAACAGAAAAGGCAGCCTATGCTGTTAGGTACTACAGCATCATTCCAACCCTCTGCACAATAGAATGACAAACTGTCTGGTCTTACACTATGCTTTGAATTGTTGCTTGAGCCCATTGTTGCTGCCATGTGTCAACCCATCTGGTCAAGGGTCTTCACTGACCATTCACCTTACTAAGCATGATGTCATCCAGGAACCGATCCCTACTGACATCGTGCCCAAAGTCTCTTTCTATCCTCATTTCTGTGTAGCATTCTGGTTGTTCTTCTGATAGTCCATACTTTCAATATTTTTCATCCACACTGCATCGATTCTTCTGTGGTCTTCATTGTTCATTTGTTCAACTCTTGCATGCATTACGTTAAGTGCCATTGAGTTGGTTTCAACTCATAGCAAATAGGTTTTTAGCAACAGCCGGAGGGTTTGAACTGCCTACCTTGTGGTTCACTGTCCAGTGCTTATCAGGAGCACCTTGGTCCTCAAAGTGAGATCTGTGCTTTTTAATACTTTAGAAGTTTTTTTTTTTCCCCAACAGACACGTCAAATCACCGTATCGCCTGATTCTTGAATGTGGCTTCCAATGAGTGTTGTGGACACAGTATGTTAGCAGACTATCCTAATTCCATTGCCTGGCCTGTCAGTTTGTTGCAGTGTGGTGGCTTGCGTGCTGCTGGACGCTATGGAATCAGACTGGTCACTGCAGAGGGATCTTATGTTTTGGGAGGTAAAACACATTAGAATTACATTTGTGTGTACCTGATGCTTTCTCATAAGGGAGAACCAAAGGAATATGCATACCCACAAGGTTTAGAGATGGTTCAGAAAGGGAGGTAGTTGTTACCTGGTTCAAAAGCACATTTACATTTTCTTGTTAGGTATTATTCTAAAGGTATACTCTGCTATTTAATTCTGTTTGCATTTTGTATTAAACATCTAATCCAATGTTTTATCATATTAAAGATTTATTATTTGCTGAAAATACGTTTGGAAGCAGTGGATGTTCTTATGAAGGAATGTCAAAAAGTTTGTGGAAAACGGAAAGAAAGTATAAGATTTTTTCCATGCATTTAAAAAAAAAATGTTTTATTGTGAATTATGTGGTAGTTTACATGGGAGAACATTCATCCTATTTTATACCATTTAAAAATACGGAACGCTTCACAAATTTGCGTGTCATCCTTGCACAAGGGGCCATGCTAATGTTCTCAGTATCGTTCCAGTTTTAGTGTATGTGATAACGAAGCAAACACTTACCATGAATTCTTGAAGTCCCCTGCATGAACTTAAGAGTATAGTTTATACAAAAGTACATTTCAAGGAATCATAAAATTAATAAATAGTTGAGAAAGCAAAAAACCTACTTGCTTTACTTGCAGGCAGAGAATGGTAAAAGTTTAATTGTT